CATCATCACGACCATCACCACCACCACCATCACCCTGATCTTGCACCATTTCTGCTCAATGATCTCTGCATCTGTGTTTCTCCTTTACAACTCAGAAGTGATTCAATTTAGGTCATTCTTCACTGACACAAGCAGTGGACTGATGGCCACAAGGTCGATGATTCAAACCCACCAGCCCCTCCTCAGAAGCCCTATACAGGATCGCTATGAGTCAGAACTGACTAGATGGCACTTAACAACAACGCTGATATGGCCTCATTAACATAACAGAGAAAATCCTGTTCCCAAATGGGATCCTATCCACAGTTTAGGATTCCAGCACATGGTTCAGAGGAGTAGACCCACTTGCCCAAAAAAGTAAACAAGCAAGATGTCTAAAAGACAGCCCCTCACAACCAGCATCCTGTGCTCTGTCATTTGCGTCTTCACCCCACGGCTCACCAGTGAATGTCCATGTTCCATGGAACTCCATCCTACGGGACCACAGAGGAGGGGGCTGTCAGGAGAAAATTGTGTGTCCTCTTCCAAAGAGAGGCCCGTCGGTGAACATCCAGATGCTGAACCGAGTTAGATTGCTTTCTGTCCACCTCCGCAGGACCTTGATTTTCCCATCTGTGCACAATGACCTGGTTTCACAACCACACAGCCCTCCCCATTTACTGAGGTTTGAGGTCTGTCACTGTGGGCTCTTCTATTTGACTGATTCACAAAAGGCCCTAGGACACCCCGCAAGTGTCTGGAATGGAAGCGCATGGGGAGGAAGGTAGAAGGGTGGTTTCCACAGACTGCCCACTGCTCAGAGCCTTTCTTCAGGCCTCCCAGGCAGACTGCCAGCTTCTCCTCCAATTAAATGCCCCATTTGGCTGGCTGTCGAGTCCCTGGCTTGGACAAGAGAGGTGCCTGCTACCACCGCTGTCTGGATGTAATTTGAGGGGCAGGAGATTCCATGAGCCGGGGGAGGGGATTTGTCTGAGAAGCCATCACGTGCCAGTATGTCTGAGAATTCCTGGTCCTAGTCCCCTTCACAGACTTCACACTCTTGCAGGCTTGTCATCAGGAGTGGAGAAGGGGCAGAAGGGCAGTGACAACATTACCACTGGGGGGTCCAAGAGGAGTGTGAATGTTCTTGCTCCAAATCGCTTCCCCCAGAACAAGAAGGAGACTTGGAGCCAAGTGGTAAATTATAATTCGAGAATGGTAATAATAGTATTAAACACAGTACAGGGGTCCTGGGTAGGGGCAGGCTGTTAACACCCTTGACCTCTAGCCAAAAGGTTGGTGGTTCAAGTCCACCTAGAGGCATCTCAGAAGACAGACCAGGAAACTGCTTCCAAAAGGTCGCAGCCTTGAATAACTGGAGGGAGTCCATCCACTTCTACACTGCACGCAGCTCTTTACCAATTAACAACCATGACAGTATCCGATCAGAGTCCCTGCTTGCTGCAAACAGTCAATGTGCTAGACTGCTCACCAAAAGGTTGGAGAGGTTAAGTCCGCCCAGAGGTGCATAGGAAGAAAGACCTGGTGATCTTCTGAAATCCAGCTATTGAAAAACCTATGGTTCACAGTTCTGCTGTGACACACACAGGGTCGCCGTAAGTTGGAGTTGGTCCCACTGCAGCTGGTTTAATCATTGGGAGGCAATCACAACCAATATCATGATAACTTCACACAGAACTGTTGCTAAACATTTGTCAAGGTTGTATAACAGCCTTGAGGACAGCTCAGCAAGCTAGGGAAACTGAGGCTCAGAGGAGTTTAGTGATCTGAATCTAGGAATCCAAACCCCCAAATCACTTTAAACACTGAGGTGTACCTGGGTCAGGTGTCTAGAAGAATCTGTAAGACTCTAGAAGTGGCCTGTAAGGAAGACTGTGTGTATATACTTCTAAATGCTACAAAGAGTCTTTAGAGGGGAAAAAAAAAAAAAAAGTAATGAAATGTCCGTGAGCAAAGCCAGGTGCCTAGAAAGGAAGTGGTGGAGAGATGAAAGGTGGGAGCTCCCCTGGGAAGTGTCCAGAGGGAAGGGTCCCCTGATGACTCCCATTTGTGGAGGGTGGACCACTGGAACTGCTAGAACATGGGTCCCGCGGCCAAGGGCACATGTCCAGTGAGGGCCAGTGGCCTAGCAGGGCTCTCTCAGCCTGCAATCTGATCACCAGATGGGTGCTGTCCCCATCCCGACAGCACAGGAAAGCCATCTGAAAAATCAAGCATGCAGCCCCCCCTGCCCATCTGCTGCCATAAAAGGAAGCGGCTGTCCCCATGCCGTTCACCATCGATCTTGGGCATTTGCAGCCGGGATTTTGTTATTAGGTGCACTATCAATGAACATATTGATTCAGGAAGGACCAGTCACTGGAAAAGGATATCATGTTTGGTAAGGTGGAGGGTCAGAGAAAAAGAGGAAGACCCCCCAACGAGATGGATTGGCCAAGTGGCAGCATCGATGGACTCAAGCGTGGCAACAATAGTGAGGTTGGCCCAGGATCGGGCAGTGTTTTGTTCTGCTGTGCATGAGGTTGCTATGACTCAGCACCAACTCAATGACACCCAACAACAACAACAGCAACATCAAAGACTTGGATGGACCACTGGCCCTGTCACCGGCTATTGAGACACACTGCCCTTTGAGGACGTCGGTTCTTTAATTCAAGACGACAACGACAGCATTGTGTCGTGTCAGGTCCAGGAGATGGTTTCCTATTTGGCCGTGGGCTTGGATCTGATTTCAAGTAAATTAAATACAACTCAGAAGTATGGTCCCTCTCACCATCAAGCCAAGGACACCGCAGACCCCTAGCTCAGCCAAATCATAAGCTGCCAGGATGACCCATCGACACCAGGGAGACAGCAGGGCACCCATTTCTCCCCAGTTTGGTACTAGAATGCTGTGCAGCCTTGGCTCTCTCACTCGCCCTCTCTGCTGCTGTTTCTTTGTTCTGCCATGCTGCGAGTTGAAGTTCTAGCTCTTTGGCCTTCAAAGTCCCTGGCATCATCCCACTGTCCTCTTGTCATCTCCCTACCCCCACAACACGATGACCATGATGCTGGTGACCTGTCCTCTCAGTTGAGTCCAGCCAGCCTTCTCCTCTGTGGCCATTCGGATGGCTCTTGTCGAAGACATCACTGGTCACTTTCTCCTTCTTGAAGCCCCATCCTCCTGGGGCTGCAGGGACCAGATTTCCCAAGCCATTCCTTCCCTGTTTCCAATGCTGCCTCTGCCTCCAGCCTTCCCAGACTCCACCTCTCTCCACATGCTTCCCTGCACAGTGGGGTCTCCCTCCCTATGGTGTCTCCATCTCTATGCTCCACCCCCAACCTGGCTTCTCCATAGAGCACATACATGTGCATCTATTGTGTGGTAGCGATCGTTCCGGGTCTCGGAAGACAACGGGGAGCAGGAGAATCAGCATCAGTCGAAAGCTGATGCCTCTGAGGGGAGATCAGACATACCTTTATTCTCCAACTTTCTTACCAATTCTGATCCCAGCACCCTCTATTTCCCCGTTGGGTTTGAGAGTCCTGTGCAAAGCCCACACATACTCACAATTATGTGGCTGATTAATGAAGTGTATGGGATCCAGATTAAATTGGAAGACACCGGAGCAAAAGATTCAGTCAGGAAGTGCACAGGTAAGGTCTGGGAAGTGAGGACAGTAAAGGCAGAGCATCTAAATTACAGGCTGTCAGTGTTGTTAAGTGTTGTCAAATCAATTCCAACTCATAATGACCTTCTATAGAGTTTCCAAGGAGCAGCTAATGGGTTTGAACTGCCTGTCGTCCTTGCGGTTCAAACTGACCTTGTGGTTCAGTGCATTATCCTGCTATGTCAAATCAGGGATGGGGAACATTTTTCTTGCTAAAATTTATAACATCATTCATGGGCCATGCAACATTATCAACTTAAACATTAGCCTGCTCTATTTGGCTAAACACTGGTTATGAGTCAGGCTGCTAATCCCATGGTCAGCAGTTGGAAACAACCAGTGGTTCCATGGGAGAAAAATGAGGCTTTCGGTTCTCGTAAAAATTGACAGCCTCAGAAACCCTATACAGAGTCGCTATGAGTGAGAGCAGGCTCAACAGTACCTAACAACAACAATGTGATGGCTGGAGCTGTGGTTGCCTTGGCAGAGCCATGCCAAATAAGTTCAAGAGGCTTCTATGGCCCGCAGGCCAGCCACTTCCCACCTCCGGTCTAAACAGTAATGATGCCCCTGGGTAGAGGTACGATGGTGTCACAGTGAAGCATGTCATGGAACTGTTTGTGGAAAACTTGTCAGAGGATAGATGCTTGATTGTATATGTTGTCATCAAAAATAAAGAAATTATATATATATATATAGGAGCTCTGGTAGCGTAGTGGTTACGAATCAGGCTGCGAATCTTAAGGTCAGCAGTTCGAAACCACCAGCCACGCCGCGGGACAAAGATGAGGCTTTCTACTCCCATAAAGATTTACACCCTCGGAAACCCTGTACAGGGTCGCTATGGGTCAGAATCGACCCGATGGCACTTAACAACAGCAACAATGTATGTGTTTTAAAGTTTTTGTTGTGAATTGAGTGAGAGTTTATGTGAGAGAACATCAGTTTTGCATTCAT